AATGCTTTCCAAAGCATTAAATAATATTGTCCCATCCGCGGTACTCACAGCTCCAATCCTAGGGAAACCATTGACTCTTTATGTTGCAATACAAGAATATTCATTAGAAGCACTTCTTGTCCAAGTCAATGATGAAATAAAAGAGAATGCATTCTATTACTTGAGTCCGGCACTGATAGAGGCTGAAATGAAGTACTCACTGAAAAAATATGCCTTGCATGGATCTTTACGATTAAAAAAAGAATAACTACAGTAGAAACTCCAAAACTTTGAAATATTAGCAGACTTTTTTCAAACATTTGATTTGTTGCAATCATCACTATAACCTTTCCAAATGTTGTATCTATGGCCCTTTTGGACGATTTTCATCGAAAATTTTTTCAGTTGACGAAAAAATGATTTTGATGACATTTTAACAATTTTTAAAGGGGCAAAATAGTAACTTTATATTATATCAAAACAAAAAAGAAAAATAAAATTGGTCTTCTTCCCTAACCCAAACCAAATCCACCCCTACCCTACAATTAAAATGGGGACATTCTTGTTTGTTCCTGCAAGAAACGTACCGAACTTTGAGTCTAAAATTAGGACGATTTCTGGAGCAATTGATGAAATTGGAATGTTATCAAGGTCATAGGGACTTGATTAAGAATCCACTGATGCCAATTGACTGATTCAATATCACATGAAAAAAGAATAGAGGCAGAGAGATTTGAGTTCGCGACTATCGAATATGTTAGATCAACCTCAGAACGAAAATGGTCCATCATTAATTAATTTTAGGCCATAATTTTGATTTTCTAGGTGAGAGCTACTTATCAGTGGTGGTGGACGACTGTGGGCGTAGCCGGAGATGGGTTTTTCGGTGGATTTTTAGCTAGTTTTATTTGTTTATGTATTTATTGGAAAAATGAATATGAGTGCTGGTGGCAGTGGCAGTGGCAGTTACAATTATGGTGCATGTGTGGGTGTTACCGTCGACAACTATTGGCAATTTGCTTTGGTGCCGATGGTGAGAGACAAGTAGAATGATTTTGGTTTGGGTTGATTTTGGGTGAAGGTTTGTGGTGGGATAGGGGTGGATTCGGGATGGGTTAGGGAAGAAAGCCAATTTCATTTTTTTCTAATTTTGATGTAAAGTTACAATTTTGCCCCTTTAAAATTGTTAAAATGTGGTCAATTTTTTTTTGGTCTCAAATGCAAAGTTTGGAAAGGTTAGTGATGACAGCTACAACAATTCAAAAGTTTGGAAAATGTCTACTAGTGTTTTAAAGGTTGGGTGATTCTATTGCAATTATTCATAAAAAAATTGAGAGATTATATTCTATCACACACAATCAATCTTGTTTCAAAGGTTTATTGACTAAAGCACATAACATCCAGGCCGACTCTTTCCGGAAGGATTGGAAAATGGGCACTTTTATTGTCTGAGTTCGATATCAAATTCATTTCACCAAGGGTTACTAAGGGACAAGCTTTCTACAGATTTTCTTGCCGACCATTCAATTTCAATGGAATGGAAACTTCTAGAAGACCTTTCAAATGAAGAAATTCTATTTATTGGAGCTATACCATCATGAAGGCTAAACTTCGACGAGGTAATCCGAAGTTATGGTACAGAGTAGCCTTTGTCACTTCTTATGATCTTTTATACCTTATTCTTTTGCCATAAAAGTGAAATGTTCAAACAATATAATGGAATATCAAACCCATATCCTTGGCTTGGAGACAGTATTGAATATGGATATCCATCAGTTGGAAGTCTTTGAAGATTCTAAATTGATAATCAACAAACTTTTAACTGAGTATAAAGTCCGTAATATAAACTAGAAGCCATGTCATGAATATGCATCAAAGCTTATGGAATGATTTGATTTAGTAAAAATCAAATTCGTGCTTAAAAGTGAAAATAAGAAAGGTAAGAAGTGCCTCGTGACCCCCCAATATAGAATAAAACGAGTTTGCTGATGGCTTAGCTGATTTGACCGTTGTTTTAGCTAAGCCAAATGAAAATTTTTTCCACTCCATATCAATTGCTCAAAAAATGGATGCTTCCTTTGTTGTTGCCCAGTAATATGGAAGAAATTAATAGTGTCGAAGTAATCAAGGATAAGAAGAGAGAAGATTGGAAACAACCGATAATCGATTTTCTTCAACATAAAAAACTGCTAGATAATTCACGACAAAAAACTAAAATCAAAAAGCTTGTGCACCGCTTTGTCTTTTATAAGGGAAAGCTTTATCGCAACACATCAGGGAAGAAGCCCACTCTAGAATCTGTGGTGCTCATCAGTCCGAACCCAAACTCCATTTACAAATAAAGAGAATGGGATAATACTCGCCAACTATCGTATAAGACTCCTTGGATTATGCAAGAAAATATGAAACTTGTCAAGTCCATGCAAATTTCATCCACAAACCTTCAAAACCATTATATCCAACAGTAACTTCTAGGCCATTCAATGCATGGGGTCTCGATATTATTGGACCTATAACTCCAAAATCTTCAACTGGGAATGCATACATACTCGTTGGGACTTACTACTTCTCAAAGTGGGTTGAAGCCATACCTTGAAGGAAATAAAGAAAGAAAAGGTTACGGATCTCGTTTGTATTCAAATCATTTATCGATATGGGTCCTGCGACACGTCATAACTGATAATGTCAATCCCTTCTACAATAGCCTTATGAACAATTTATTTTCAATTTTGGATTCAAACAATACAATTCATTCATGCATAATGCGGCAGCTAACAGATTGGCAAATGAATTCAACAAGACACTGTGAAATCTGCTAGAAAGGTTGTTTCCAAATTAAAAGGAGATTGGCAAGAAAGAATTGGTGAACTCATATGGGCTTATCAAACTGCTTATCGGACTCCAACACAAGCAACTCCTTATGCTTTAGTGTACGGAGTGGAAGTCGTATTTTCTTTGGAATGTCAAATCCCATCACTTTGAATTACCATCCAATAAGGTTTGACAATAGAAAAAAAATGCCCATCGTCGATTGGAAGAATTAAAAGCTTTGAATGAAAAGAGATTTGAGGCACAAATGCTCCTGGATTCCTATCAAGCTCAGAAGGCAAAGTCCTTCAACAAAAATGTACAACCAATATCATTTCAATTCGAAGATCTGATACTTTTCATACACAGGTCAATCATAATCACAAGAAAAATGGGGGCCATGTTCCAATCTAAATGGGATAGTCCATTTCTTGTTATTTATGCATTAACTAATGGAGCATAAAAGATCATTGACAAAAATGGACCTCAGATCGGACCTATCAATGGAAAATTTCTAAAGCGTTTTTACGCTTGAAGTTCTTTATCTTGTAAGTTTTTTATTGTAATAAAATGTATTTGTCTTGGCCCACAAGAGGGTAAACTGTGAATGTCCCTAAATAAGCAAAAAAATTGTGTTCGTATAATGAATTATGTTCGATTTGATCCCTTTTAGGTAATAAAAATTTCATTCAATTTGTTTATCATTTTTTTGCAATAAAAAATGCACAAAAAAATGAAAATGAAAAATTCATTATCAAAAAACGATGATAGCAAGTCAAAGTTCATACAATATGATCTTAAAGAAGATCTGAAAGTCTCAAATCTATCAAGATCACTCACCATTGATCACTCACGAGAAACTATCTTCAAAGGTCTTTCTTTTTTGGTTGATGGACGCTATACGAGTAACATCCCCGGTTTGTGATTCTTCTAATGTAACCTTCGCAGTTCCAATGATAATCTTTCATTCCTGATGGGTTTGAAGTTCATCATGGAATCTTTCTAGCCCGAAAGTTAACTACTAATTTTACTTTCCAACGAAGAACACGTGAACTCCTTCACTTCTAGCTGAATATTTAAAAGTTTCAATTGCTCAATCTTTTCTTCAATGGTTAGACACTCTTAGTGTTGCTTTCTTTCAAATGAATAAAGTCAACTTCCTTGAGAAACACATCCATACAGTTCATCAAAGGTGCCTAATTTATGCAAAATGAGCTGGTAACCATGTTTTGAAGAATTAAATTATTTTCATCCGACCAAGAACGGATGTTGAGTAATCCATGTTTCAAAACGTCCCTAAAATACTTCTGAAGATAATTAGTCATGGTTTCTTGCAAAGTAGCCTTAATAAGGAGACTCTTGAGTTATCCCAAGTAGAGGACCAGACATGGAAGAATAAATCGGTACGGCCCAATGATTGTTTTTCTTTGAAGGCAGAATGTTAACTAACCAAATGAAGATAGAATAACTGGACTTCTAGATCGATCTCTGAAATGTTTACTCAAATCTACAATGATCTTCTTTCTAATGAAAATATTTTTTGAGTAGACACGGCAATGCATGAGAAAGAAAGTGAAAGACGATCCGATAGGAAAATTTTCATAGAAGTGAAGCTTAGTGAAAAGCCAACTTGAATTCTCAACTATAATGTTTGCATGATCCCACTACATGTTACTCTTTTAACTAGTATCACTTTCTTTTGAAATGAAACTAACCTACTTTTATTAACTTACTTTAGATGTCTATGTTGAAATATACAAAATCCAATAACTTGTAAAAGAATTTATACTAAATTGTTCAGTAAATTATAAACTAATGAAAATAGTGCACAAGACTTCCAACCTAAGTCAAGGAAAACAATGGAAATCTACAATGATCTTCTTTCTAATGAAAATATTTTTCTGAGTAGACAGGGCAATGCATGAGAAAGAAAGTGAAAGATGATCCGATAGGAAAATTTTCATAGAAGTGAACCTTAGCGAAAAGTCAACTTGAATTCTCAACTATGATGTTTGCATGATCCCACTACATGTTACTCTTTTAACTAGTATCACTTTCTTTTGAAATGAAACTAACCTACTTTTATTAACTTACTTTAGATGTCTATGTTGAAATATACAAAATCCAATAACTTGTAAAAGAATTTATACTAAATTGTTCAGTAAATTATAAACTAATGAAAATAGTGCACAAGACTTCCAACCTAAGGCAAGGAAAACAATGGAACAAACATGCCATAGTTTAGAATTTATTATCTTCCTTGTCCCTCTAGCAATTCAAATTAAAACTAACCAACAGAAAGGACAAAAGAAAAACCACATCAATATTAACTTAAATCACAACCTTCAGCAACTCTCTGAATTCAAATCATAATTAACTAAAATTAATTTTCTCTGCTCATTAATAACAAATTGCAGACAACGAAAGGCATTATCCGCATTGTTCTCCTCCATAAAACTGATGGTCGAGTTAATGTCCAGAAGAGTAATAATCCCAACGAAGTTTTCCCAATCTGTTGGTTTTCCCTATAAGGATTCAAAATATAAGTAGAGTGATGATAAGACAAAAAAATAGAGGAGGGAAAGGTAGTGGGACAGCAATTTTATAAGTAAAAATTCACTTCAAGTATAAAATTATCACAACATCAATATTAGATTGGTTAATTGAAGTTTATTGAAGATTTTGTGCATAAAAACTTAATTTTCCATCTTCAAAATGGAAATAAATAAACAAACCAAAACAGAATAAAACTGAAATAAACTTATAATTTCTCCAAAAGAGCAAAAAAATATGAACAAATTAAAGGGAATTGTAAGGGCTCAGCCAGAGCAATTTCTATTATCACTATAGCTTCCATCACAATTTTTCCATGTTTTTCCTAGCAAGAAAAAAACTCTCAATCAGAAAAATAAGTAGAACCCAAAAAACCTAAAAATTGCACCAAAAATTTATAGAAGTAGAAACTCAAAAAGACAATAGAAAAAGCCTCATTTTTCTCGAGCTTGATGTAACCAAAGATTTTGAACATTCTAAGAGCATCTTCAGATGAGTGTCTCTCCTTTCCCCACCCCATATTTTCAAAACCTCTTCAAAAACCTTTTACTGTACAGTTAATAGTTTCTTCACGAATTGAATGTCTTGTATGAACCACCACTTTGAAGGCGACAAGCAAATAATCGAAGCGATGGAGACCCACCAACTTCTTCTTCTCCGATAAGCGTGAGGATGAGAAGAGCCGAGAATAATTTAAATTTTAGGGTTTAATTTTAGGTATAATTGTGGCAGAAGCCCTAAACCTTTTAAACACTAACAAACTTTCCCCCTAACCTTTTATTTGTTGAAGGCCGTCACCCCAAACTTTTTTCAAACGTTGTATTTGAAATCCTTTTGGATGATTTCCGTCTAAAATGTTGTCAGTTGGCCATCAAAATAAACTTTGACCACCATTTAATAAATTTAAAAATGTAAAATGGCAACTTTTTATTTACTACATTAAACAATTAAAAAACTTAAATCAAAAATAAAAATAAAAAATGGACCTTCTTCTTCTCCCCACCCCAAATCCCATGTAGTAATTTATTCACATCCACAAATCCCACACGTTAATTTATTCTCTCTCTCAAAGGAATTGGCAAGGATTGCAAAACTGGTGGGATTTGTGTGAGTCTGAGCTTTAGGCAGTGACCATAGCCAAGAAGGAAAATTCCCACTGGAGCCATTGTTCTGAACTTGAAACCTCTCAAGATTTATACATTTATTAATGGATTTATTAGGTAATGTACCATTCAAGAAATCTAAATGTAGACTAAAATTTATTAAACTTTTAGCTTCACGAACTCCAATTGGAAATGAACCAGAAAACTTATTTCTTGAAACACCGAAAGAAACCAAATTAGGGAGAAGCAACTCCAACTTTAGTATTTCACCAATGAGATTATGCTAAGAAAGGTCCAAAATCATTAAACTTTTCAAACCAACAAAGAAATCTGGCATCCGGGTAGGGGAAGATAGCGGTGGCGAATGGCGAAGGCAAATTTATTATTATTGGTTTTAGATTGAGGGGAGTCATGGGGTGGGGTGTGGTTGGGGGGGGAGAGAAGAATAAAATCCTTTTTTTATTTTGTTTTTTATTTAAGTTTTTAAATGTTTAATGTAGTAAATAGAAAATTACCATTTTGCCCTTTAAAAGTGATTAAAAGGTAGTCAAAGTTTATTTTGATGGTCAACAGACGGCATTTTAGACGAAAATCATCCAAAAGAGCCTTAGATGCAATGTTTGGAATGATTTGGTGTGACAACTACAACAAATGAAAGATTGGGAAAAAATCTACTAGTACTTAAAAGGTTTTGAGGCTTTTGTTGCAATTATCCCTTAATTTTGTATAATATCAATTATTTTTTTATTTTTTTTCAATTTTAACTTCAAATATACATTTCATGGGCTGAGTGAATTTTAATTAGGTTTTGGTCTACTTTTTGCAACATCTAACAGACGTTGCAAAAAGTATAATTTTTTGAAATTGAATGTTGCGAAAAATTAAACTTTTCACAACATTTAACTAACCTTGCAAAAAGTAAATTTTTTTTAAATATTTTTGTAACAATCATTGAAAGTTGCAAAAATGGAACTTTTCACAACGCTCAACAAACGTTGCAAAAAAGTTCACTTTACAACAATTAGTAAACGCTGCAAAAGGCTATATATTACAAGTTTCAGTATTATGCATTGAACATTGCTGTTAAGCCAAGTTTTAATAATGTTCAATGAACGTTGCAAAAATTGAAACTTTTCACAACATTCAATAGTTGCGAAAGGTAACATTTGCAACATGTATTTAAAAAAAAATTGTTAAAGCTCAATTATGTTAACTAATGGCAACATTCACTTGTTAAAATGTTGCGATAGACCCCTTTAGCAACACTCAATTAATGAATGTTGCATTTTTAGTGTTGCAAAAGATCGTTTCTGTTGTAGTGCATGTTATAGCACAGCTATTCGTCACAAACAGATTTGTTTTTTCCCCCTAATTTAAGTTGAATTCTACATGATAGGGATTTTGTGTACTCTTTTATCATAAACTGAAGGCTGGAATATTATTCTTGATCTTGCAACAATAAGAAGAGAGCATTGGAGAGAAAAAGATACATATTATGTCTGAAAATACAAATAAAAAAAAATTTGATGCAGAATTTGGATTTCTAGCAAGAGCGATTTGAGATTTCTTCTAGGCTCCATTGAAGACATTTAAGGGGCCAAATTTGATTTTTCGAGCGTCCTCTATCAATTCTATATTTCGATTGATGAATTATCAATTTATTATGCGTGTTTGTAATATGGGTTGACATTCTAAATCTTTTGCATGTAGGAAGCTGATGTAAGCCGCTTGTTGAAGTTATAAATTCAATACTTCTTTTAATTCTCAATATGTGTTGGATAGGTGTCAATGTTTTAATTACCGTTTGAAGGAATGATCAACTTTTAAACGTGTTTGCAATTTATTTTATTTTTTGATGGTTCAAAGTAGGTGTAACTCATAATTGACAATCAACATAAAGTCATATAGATGTTAGGAATAATTGTTTATGCTTTGTGCAATCCAATTGAATAATCTTGTTAGTTAATGTATTTTTATATCTTCGAATTTGAGATAAGAATATATTTCTTGTTATAAGTGAAAATATGTTTAACTCTACTTGAAAGATTTTATTAGAAAAACTTATGATTATTGATTGTCATTTTAATCATAAGTTGACTTAGAGGTGAAATTTTAAAAATTATAATGGATACAAACCATGGAGTTGGATTCCAAGCATAACTTTCTCAATTGATTTTTTTTTTTTTTCCTCCAAACTTTCATTTGCATATTAGTTAGAAAGGTGTTGTATAACCTATTTAGACAATAGTTACTTTATTTCAACCATTAATATATAGTGTGTATTCAATCTAAGCTTGAATTGATTAAATTTAAGTTATATTCTAAATCTTATGAAAGCGATACTCCTTACTCATTTTTCCTATTATTTATCAATAAACTCGTACACTTATGAGATTTCAAGCAAACAGTAGACAATTGTACAAAAAACGGGCAACTCAAACTTTCTCCATGCCATTTTCCATTATTCGTTGATTTATGAATGGCAGACATTCTTCACTTTCTAGCGACCAAAAAAAGTATATCAACTTTCTCCCAGATTTTTCCAATTCCTAGAAGCAAGAATTGTTTGCATAAATAGCTTGTAACTCTAAGCAAGATACTTTCCACGGGTAAATGTATCTCCTTGAGGGTGCTAATGTCATTCTTTCATGACAGTTAGCCCTTATTTGATTTACATTATTTTCAAAATATATTTTTGTCTTTATTCTTTTCGATCACGCATTCTTCAATAAAATAATATTATACACAAATAAAAAAAAATTCTTTATTTTTTTAACTATAAGTTATCCATCAATCTATTATTTAAAAATGTATTCTTAGCCCAAAAATGGGTCTCAAACATGCCCTTAAGTTTAATTTTAATGGTATATGTATGGATTAGGAGTACAATACCTAAAAATGAGGAATCATGCTAAATATACATAAAGATTGACACGATAATTTATACCCATGTGAGTTGACAAGTTTTGGTGTATAGATCTTGACAACGTATTTTTCAATCAATTTGCCAAATTTTGACACGTAGGAAGGTGTCAATCAAGGTGTACACTTTATGTGTGCAAATAGTTTAATTCAAGATTGAGTCTTTAGAGTTAAAATCATTAGACAAGTTATTAAACAAACTCTGCTTGGGAAGAATTTATAAGTAACTTCATTGATAAGTGGTGAATAAGTACATAATACTTGTAGATCTAGTAAAATGTGCGGTCGGAAATAAATTAGATCAAAAGGAGGCATTATCTTTATGCCAATTTGACATGAGAGTGAGAATAGCCCATTCTATAATTTGTTAATGAAATAGGTCGACACACTTAGAGTGTGTTTGATTGCAAGCGGTGAAATTTATATGGAAATAAAATAAATTTTAGACAATTGAATTGTCTAGAAATTATTTGCATGAAAATTGTCAATTAAATGTATTTGATTTATATTATTTTCAATTTAGAAAATATTATACTTGTTTTTTTATTGGTGGGTAGGTGGGAGAAAGAGGAAATAAATGAAAGACAGTGAATTACCAGAAAATAAAAACCTAATCCTTTAAAAATATATATTTTCCTTGTTTTCATTGAAAATATGATTTAGTGAATAAAAGTAGGAAAATATTATAGAAAAAATATCAATCAAACAGTATAAAAGTATGAATTTAGATGGAAAAATGAGCCCTTTCAAATAATTATATTCTCTAATTTTCATTGTAAGCACTTTAGCAACTGCTGTGAATGAATATAATGTTGAGAAAAATGTAGGGAAATCTGAAAAGTTAATGAACTCCAAGGCACGAAAAAAAAGTTATCTTTTAAGAGATGTTTCTCCCTTATCCAACAAAGTCACAATTGGGGTATGATAGAAAATTTCTCTCAGGATAC